GAAGGAAGGAAAAGAGGGTGGGACAAAGGATGGGAGGAAGGGAAGAGAGAGGGAAGGAATTGAAGGAAGGAAGGGTGGGAAGCAGGGAGGGAGGAAGGAAGGAAAAGAGGGGGTGGGACAAAGGATGAGAGGAAGGGAGGAGAGAGGGAAGGAAGGAAAAGAGGGAGGGAGGAAGGAAGGAAGGAAAAGGGGGAGGGATAAAGGATGGGACGAAGTCAGGAGAGAGGGAAGGAAGGAAGGAAGGGTGGGAGGAAGGAAGGAAGGAAAGAAGAAAGGAAGGAAGGAAAAGAGGGTGGGACAAAGGATGGGAGGAAGGGAAGAGAGAGGGAAAAATGAAGGAAGGAAGGGTGGGAAGCAGGGAGGAAGGAAGGAAGGAAAAGAGGGGAGGGACAAAAAATGAGAGGAAGGGAGGAGAGAGGGAAGGAAGGAAAAGAGGGAGGGAGGAAGGAACGAAGGAAAAGGGGGAGGGATAAAGGATGGGAAGTCAGGAGAGAGGGAAGGAAGGAAGGAAGGGTGGGAGGAAGGAAGGAAGGAAGGAAGGAAAAAAGGAAGGAAGGAAAAGAGGGGATGGGACAAAGAATGAGAGGAAGGGAGGAGAGAGGGAAGGAAGGAAAAGAGGGAGGGAGGAAGGAAGGAAGGAAAAGGGAGGGATAAAGGATGGGACGGAGGGAAGGAAGGAAGGAAGGGTGGGAGGAAGGAATGAAGGAAGGAAGGAAGGAAAAGAGGGTGGGACAAAGGATGGGAGGAAGGGAAGAGAGAGGGAAAAATGAAGGAAGGAAGGGTGGGAAGCAGGGAGGAAGGAAGGAAGGAAAAGAGGGGGAGGGACAAAGGATGGGAGGAAGGGAGGAGAGAGGGAAGGAAGGAAGGGTGGGAAGGAGGGAGGGAGGGGGGAAGGAAGGAAGGAAGGGTGTATCAAGGCGACATGGACGCCAGTCTTTCTCTCATGTTGTCTTCAGACGTCCCTCCTGGGCACGGGAGAAATCTCTGGATTCCTTTGTGTAACGTTGCTTTCCAACCTCGCAGGGGAGGACGCTGACTTCCGGCTGATCCTGGTCGGAAAGTCTAAAGGCGGGAAAAGCGCCACGGGCAACACCATCCTCGGCCGGAGGGTGTTCGAGTCCACCTTGGGGCCAAACGCCACCACCCTGAGGTGCCAAAGGGGTCAGGGAACCTGGCAGGGCAGGAAGGTCTCCGTGGTCGACACGCCCGGCATTTTCGATTCTGAAAACTACACGGAGATTGTGCGACGCGAGATCATGGCTTGCCTTCAGCTGTCCTGGCCCGGCCCCCACGCCCTGATCTTGGTGACCCAGTTGGGGTGCTTCACTGCGGAAGATGCGGCTGCCGCAAACTGTGCCTGGGATATCTTCGGGGCCGAGTCCGCCAGGCGCACCATCGTCCTCTTCACCCGCCTGGAGGATCTGGGAGGGGCCTCCCTGCAGGAGTACGTCCGAAAGTCCAACAACTGGGATCTGCGGAAGCTGATCCTGCAGTGCGGGAACCGCTTCTGCGGGTTCGACAACAAGGCTGCGGGAGCCGAGCGGGAGAGGCAGGTCTCGGAGCTGATGGCGACGGTGCAAAGCGTCATTTTTGAGAACAAGGGGACACCCTACGTCAACCAGCTGTACTTGGAGCCCAACGTGTGTGATGAACATGTCAAGAGGTTCCTTCAGCGAAACCAAGAGCCGTGGAGTAGATCCATCGAAAAGGTCCTCCATCTATGGAGGCTGGTCATTTCTGAATTCGAAAAGTTGTATTTCCTGTATCATTCCAAACGGAAAGATATACGTTCTTTCATAAAAGATGCACGTAAAGTGTTTCGCTGGTTTTTCCCCAAACGTGTTTGAAGTACGACTTCATTTTTGGCCACAAAATCCGGAAACGGTGCGGTTCGTAAGTCCCTTTTCTTTCTTCGAGAAATAAACAATGGCAGACCCGCAGATCTGGTGTCCTCTCTGCTTCTCCTTTGCCTTTGACTGCTGAAATGGGCCTGGGGGGGTCAGCTGGGGGTCGTCCCTGCCCTTCCTGGGGTCCAGCGAGAGAAGCGGGTCCTTATCTTTAAAGATCCTCCTCCACCTTCTCAAGGGCACCAGAATCCTGCCCCACAGCCCTTCAACGCCAGCCCGGCCCCACGTCCTTGCCTTTGCCCCAGTCCAACCCAGTGTCACCAGTATCAAAGGGGTGTTTCCCCCATAAGCCGAGAGCATCCCAGGTGGGTGACGTCTGTTCTGTACACACGAGGGGAATTCAGCGTGTTTGTCATCCTTCCCACTTAGTCCAATTAGCAAAAAAAGGACTCCTCGGTCTTCCCCCCCCCCAGGGTATACTTTACAGATTAGAGCAGGGGTCCCCAACCACCCAATCTGTGGACCGGTACCAGGCAGCGGCATGCCAGAAACCTGTCCATGCAAACAAACGGAATCCCATCCGCAGAGACGCAGGCAACACATGAAGCCAAACACTCCTTCTGGTCCGCGGTAAAACCTCTCTGCACGGAAGCGGTCCCTGGTGCCCAAAAGGCTGTTGGGAAGGGGGTGTTGGATCTGTTGGTTTGGCGCCACGATGACGCAATGAACTTTCCCTTTTCCCCTGACCAACCCCTCCCCCTCCCTGTGTTATCGGTCCACGTCCAATTAAAAGTTCTCAGGCTGTTTTGGAAAGGGACCCTGCGGTTGTCTCGATCAGCTCTGCCATTCGTCACTGGAGGTGGGAGGAAATCCATACCTGTATGTGTATGTCAAGGGAAATTGGGAGGGTGGGGGAAATGACGATTGGACACCGATGGACTGATCAAGGGCAGGGGGTGGGGGGCGGAGCAGGGAAAGGGGGGGAAAGGCAAACTTTGCGCGGGAATGCTCCGATCCAGCTTTGCTTACACTGTAACTGCTGGAATTTAGGAATGAGAAGCTTTCGTGTCAAGGAACGGAGTCGAGGGTGTTTCTTTCCGAAAGGTCTAAATTGGGGTGAGCCTGACACACTTTGAGCTCGGCATATATTCTCTCACGGGTTTCCATCGCTTAAGCCAGGGGTACCCAACCTTCCTGGGCTGGCGGCCCGGTGGGAGAGGGAGGGGCAGGCGCCTTATGTGCATGTGTGCAAACATGACAATGGCTATATGTGTGCGTGCATGCACACACACACAGGCCGTGAGCGTGCGCGCCATGCCACTCTCAGCGACGCCGGTATCTGTGTGAGGCTTGTGATGCCGACAACGCCAGGCTCGCGGCGATACGACTACCGGCGCGAGGATCGTACTGGCGCCAACTCCATGTGAGGCTTACGCCACGGCCTATGTGAGAGTAGCAGCAACGGAGGAATGAGAGGGGATGAGCACGCACACACAGGTGCAGGCACTGCTCAACTACTCCCTCCCTCCTTTCTTTCTTTCTTTCTTTCTTTCTTTTTCTTTCTTTCTTTCTTACTCTCTCTCCCTCCCTCCTTTCTTTCTTTCGTTCTCTTTCTTTCTATATTTCTGTCTGTCTTTCTCCCTCCCTTCTTTCTTTTTCTTTCTTTCTCTCCCTCTTCCTCCCTCCCTCCCTCCTTTCTTTCTTACTTACTCTCTCTCCCTCCCTCCTTTCTCTTTCTTTCGTTCTTTCTTTCTATATTTCTCTCTCTCTCCCTCCCTTCTTTCTTTTTCTTTCTTTCTCTCCCTCTTCCTCCCTCCCTCCCTCCTTTCTTTCTTTTCTTTCTCTCTCCCTCTCTCCCTCCTTTTTTCTTTCTTTCTCTTTCTTGCTATATTTCTGTCTGTATTTCTCCTTCCCTCCCTTCTTTCTCTTTCTTTCTTTCTTTCTTTCTCTCCCTCTTCCTTCCTCCCTCCCTCATTTCTTTCATTCTTTCTTTCCTTTCTTTCTAATTTCTATATTTCTGTCTTTCTCCCTCCTTTCTTTCTTTCTTTCTTTCTTTCTTTCTTTCTTTTTTCTCCCTCTTTCTTCCTCCCTCTCTCCCTTTCTTTCTTTCTTTCTTTCTTTCCTTTCTTTCTAATTTCTATATTTCTGTCTTTCTCCCTCTCTTCTTTCTCTTTCTTTCTTTCTTTCTTTATCTCCCTCTTCTTCCCTCCCCCCTCCTTTCTTTCTTTCTTTCTTTCTCCCCGTCTTCCTCCCTCCCTCCTTTCTTTCTTTCTTTCTTTCGTTCTTTCTTTTGTTCTTTCTTTCTAATTTCTATATTTCTATGTCTTTCTCCCTCCCTTCTTTCTTTCTTTCTTTCTTTCTTTCTTTCTCTCTCTCTTTCTTTCTTTCTTTCCCTCCCTCCCTCCCTCCCTCCCTCCCTCCCACCGCCTACACTGCCTCTTTTGCCGGCCGCAATTCCTGCGCGCGATCCCTAGGTGGCCCTCCGCGCAAAGGAAAGTTCCCAGGAAAGCGAATTCAACCCCCTCCCTCCCCCCCAGCTTCGGTCCCCCCCCCTTCCCCGACCCACGGGATCCGCTGACAGCGAATCACGAGCCCCGCAGGCGAAGCGAAGCCCCCGCCCCCGCGGAATCCACGCCCGACCCCAAACAGGAAAGAGAGAAGTTGGAAGGGGCCTTGGAGGTCATCCAGTCCAACCCCCCCCCCGCCCTACTGCGC